CGTTGTATGAAGCCAACATGTATAAAAGGATGCCCTTTTGACCTTAATAAAGTCCCAACTTCTGTTGGCGTTTAAAAATTAAAACACTAAAGTTCACTGTCTTTTGAAATTATTAACAGTTTCCTTAAGACTTTTACAAAAATAGAAAGACAAATCTTTCAACAATATAATCAAAGACAATTAAACAACTTCCAAATCAAATCCACAAAAATCTCCATTTATATAAGAATCAATAACAACAATCGACTTACCTACTTTAGTCATAGATACCTATATTCAAAACAACCTCAACTTTTTTAAATGTATTACTAAATTAATTCAAAGCTATTCCAATTTTATTTCTTTCAATATTGAGTAGGTAAATATAGCTGCTTGGTACCATATAACAAGATATATTGTTTTAAAATTTTATTTTCAATATTAGTCATTTGGTTTCCGTAAACAAGTTAGCATTAAATCCACTATATTTACAAATAAGAGATGTTGTTTCTTTCACAATGTATACTTTTAATATACAAATCAAATAAAGAAATAATGTTTACCTACTAAAAAATAAAAATTATAATAATAAGACAGAAATTATTATGACTTGTATTTAAAAAATAATTTTTATATTTGATAAGATTGTTGAATTGATCTATTAGATATAGTAATATTTTCTTTTTAAAATATTTTTTTTAAATTTTATAATTTTTTTATAGGTCTTAACAATAATATAACTTAGATTAATAAGTTTATATATATCTTTTAGAAAAAAAGTATTAATAAAATTTTTAAAACAAAATAATTCTAAATTATATCTTATATTTTTTGAAACTATATAAGTTTAATAGAATTGTTAAATTTGAGTAATTGATTAATAAACTTAATATTTAATATATTTGTTATATTGTTGGCATGAAAATCCGACGAGTCTGTCGCTTGAGTGCGCCTCCCGTCGTGTAACAATGGAGTGCATCTTCTACTCGAAAGGGGATGGCTTGTATGGCTTCAGCAAGGAGACATGAAACACAGGATGAATTTTCATGGCAGGTGGCAATTCCAACTTGTACGCAGTTTCGGAGATTACTTTGGAGATGGTATAGGGTCCGGCAAATCTTGGCGTCAACTTCCTTGTGGGTCGGTTTCGATCGACAGGGTCGTTGATATTTTTCAAAGATAACAGGACTTGGTCTCCTTCTTTGAATGTCACATGGCGGCGATGCTG